GGTTCCCCAAGAGATCTGAAGTTTAAACTACGGACCGCAAAGATAGACCACTGTACTCGGCGAGTTGCCTTTTGAAAACATTGTATTAAACGAAAGTTTGTAATTTGAGAAATTATCTTTTCCTTCCTGTCTGGAGTACGGTGTAAGTTAAGAAGCTAAATATCTGATATACTGTATCATTGGATTGGTCCAGAAATTTGCGTGAAGAGGAATCCACCAATTTGCCGCCAATAGGGACTTCACACTGGTTCAATTACAACCACGTATATGCAGACAGTTATAATCCTCAACGAATTGGTGAAAGCAAGATATATCAATTATGAAGGAAACATTATAGTCTTTAAAGGAATTTGGTACATATATGCTTTTAATTGACGAAAAGAAATCTAAACGTCTGCACTCAGACAGAGGGAGAAAGAGGTAAAATGAATTGAAAAATCGATTTAAATAATTCTCAGTGGAAGTTAAAATTTTGATATTTTTGTGTGGGTGAGCTTTGTCGCACTTTTAAGTAATTTTTTTTTTGGTCMCGCTTTCTGGGGACTTTGGCTAACTTTTCAGGTAATGATTTTATATATCAAATATTTCAATCCATACTATACTAGAGAATAATTTTTACTCTGCCAAATTAAAGGAGCATTTAGGAACTATTGCATCTTTGCATATTTTTCTTCAGGAAGTGCAAAGCCAAATGCAAGAAAAAGGAACCCAACATAGTAAATGAGGTACGCAGCAAAATTACAAGGAGCTGGATCGAAAACTACACACGCCCTTAATTTTGCCTACGCATATATGACGCAACCTTTAAAATAAAGCCAGGTATTATAGACAAACTAGTTTAGAAGTGGCACTTGTCCCTGTTTTAGTAGATTTGCATTTAGAAATGAAAGCTTGTAACGGTTAGGAGAATTTGAATTCTCCCAGACGTTCACGAGTCAGCAACAAGGGAAGCAACAAGGGAAGCAAATCCTATATATTTCTGTTATGAATTCCCAGGGTAAACGCTTAATATATTTTCTGTTTCCACAGTGAAGTTCTACTGTTCCGTAGAAAGAAGTGAGCTTAAAAATACTAAAACCGTTTACGATTGAACATTGCGTCCTTTCTTGTAAAGATTTTAATTTGGAAG